AACCACTGCTCTGTTTTTAGAAAAAAATGTATATTATCTTGCTTTGGAACAAAACACTTTGATCTATGTAATTTGTCTTTTGTTCAATAGAGTGACACAAAGCAAAACATAACTATGCTTCCTCTTCTTACCTCCTTCCTTATTGCCAGCCCTATTCAGACAGCCCCGATTATGGACAGCCACTTTGGATAGAGTGCTTACTTATATGATTATTTGCCTCAGGTTTGTTGTAGTAGAGACACACCTAACAGTGCAGGACACCGGTTTCTACCCTACCTGTCTGCTGACCTCATAGGTCTTTCAGGCTGTTTATTCTCTCAAAAACCTCTGAGGCCTTAATGGAGCATCTACATTTATATCCAGATTGAATCATGCAAACATGTTTTGTGTAAAGGTAACTGCACTGAGTTTTCTTTGGGGACATCCGGGTAAAGGGGATCAAATAGCAACAACATATTTCAGATTATGTTTTAATTTTTTTTAACTTTTGCTTCACAGCCTTCAGCTACTTTTTGTTATGTCACATAAATTCCCATTAATGAAGTGTTGCTGTGTTTGTTTGTGTTGGAACATGGACATGCCGACCTGTCCTGATTATGTTGGTTCCAGTGCTACGTTGATGGACCGTATGGGACGCCTACCCGTCAGATCTTTGCCTCTGAACATGCTGTGCTGATCGGAGCTGGAATAGGAATCACACCATTTGCTTCCATCCTGCAGAGCATCATGTACCGGTTAGAAAACCCTCCAAATCCCAGTCCTCTCCATCAATGGTTCTACTGGTTCAGAGGGCCTGTGGCAAATGTTTGGCTCTCTAACAACACGTTTCTTACCGTCTCAGAACCAGCTCAGAAAACTATTAGTAGTATCAAAAAGGTTAAATCAAAGGTTTTGGGTCAGAGCGTGATGCTAAATGCAAAATTCCTTTATTCTTTTTATTTGATCAATTGACAAAACAGTGAGAGAAACTTTTTTATCTATTTATTATTTTAGTTTTTACGGCACTAGTGACTCGTTATATGGACAGTAGGCTGAGATTAAAGGGTGTATGAGAGA